GAAATGCTGTATATCCAAATAGAAATGATGTGTATCCAAATAGAAATGATGTGTATCCAAATAGAAATGATGTGTATCCAAATAAAAATGATGTATATCTAAATAGAAATGAGAGATAGCTTTTGCACACTAAAGGTTGTTAAATTTTATATAATTTTTTTTTTTGTGCATATAAAGTTAAGCTTTCTTATTCTTGTTTTTTTTAACGGAGACGAACTTTCGGTAAATCCTACAATCCAACTGCTAAAGAGATTATTGAATTGCACCCAAAATGGTAAAAATATCTTCTTCGTTGTCACTATGAAATTGTCTATAATTTTGGCTTTATACAGACCATTTAATAACAAACGAAAGCGTTATTAATATATAATATATACATATGTGTATATCTGACAAAAGTAGTGCTTCGAGTAATATTTTTACTATTTTATTTTAGTTGTTTGTTTATTAAAGGAAGCTTATTATGATGTAATCTCAAAGCTTCCTGTAGGATCCAGAAAATTATTAATAATATAAAAATGCCAGACTAAGTGAGTTATAGTTAATTATTCAGTTTCAGCGTCGTACTTAGCAAGTTACACAGTAAGAGTTAGTGCATCTATTACTCAGTAACCGTCCCCCAGTGGCACAGCGGTATATCTGCAGACTTACAATGCTAGAAATCGGGTTTCAATACCAATGGTGGGCTAAAAACAGATAGCCCGTTGTGTAGATTTCTGCTGAACTACTAACTAACTAACTAACAAACTGCTCGGTGACTGAGTCGAATTAGTAAGTTAGTCAGTTAATGTGTTTATAATCGTTCGATTAGCGAGAACATTCTACAAGTTCATAAGTTAGGTATACATTAGTTTTGGAGTTTCTTTTGAAACATTAATTTGAAGTTTGGCCTACTAGTGAACATAGCATGTAGCAAAAGTTAATGAGGAAAAAAATATTCGGTATCCTTAAGTGGATTGAACTATGTCTTATTTTTACCAAATAATCCAAAAGAACCCACCCAGTGATAGAATCCGTCACACACTGCTGTCAGAAGTGGAATTATTTTGTTGAAAATAAATAGAACTGACTAAACTTTAATATGATAATACAAGCAGGAAGTGAGATAAAAAATGTGCTGGAGATGATGAAACAATGGAAAGAAGTACAAACAGGAAGAGATAACACATATATAAATAAAAACAAGAAATTAAATTGAAAGAAAACAAAGAAGTTTTTTATAAAGAAGTGAAAGTTTGGAATGTAAGAGAGAAATAAAAAGAAACAAACGTAAGATTCAAAGAGGAATTAAGAACAAGAATAAATCTGATTGAAGATAATCGAAACCTATAAAAGACGTACGGAGGGATTACAGGAAAATATCGAAGAAATACAGAAAGGCTTTAACAAAAAATATTGAAGAAGTACAGAAATATTATAATAGCAAGATCAATGAGGCAAAAAAGAGCATCAATGTCAGACTATAACATTTGAAAATGAATAGTTAAATACAAAGATCAATCCAGCCTAGTCTCCTTCTGTATCCGCCCATGAATTCTAGCCTAAAAGACAATTACTATTAAATATGGAATAGGAGAATTTACTTGGTCTCCATTTGTTACTGTTGCTGTGCCATCTGTGATACCAAGGTCTTCCTAGACTACTCCAACCATATCACTAACAAGTTGCAGAATTTAGCTGGCTAGTTACATAACATTACCAGTCAAAAAACCAGTATATTATGATGGAAAAATACCATGGGAGACATATCATGGTCAGTAACAAATAATTTCTAGAGTGAATGGGTGGAATAGTAAGCAATAAGCTATTTATCTTGATGTCCATTTAAAAGAACCAAACAATAAGATATTTACCTTGATACCCATTTAAAAGAACTAGTTTTAGTGACATCGAGCAACTTTCTAGTTGAAAGCCGTAGCAACTATCAAGTATTGCTAGCTGCCTTATCCAACAGGTTTGGATTAATACACAAGAAGGAAGTATACAAGCAAAATTCAAGAGTAGAGTGTGGAAGAAAGAAGAGTCCTTGGCAGAACGTGCAGAGTATTTGGGAAGACATGCCCAATTATCTTACCCGGATGGTCAATGTAAAATAAATGGATTCGTTGGCATGTGTCCAATTCACAGATGTCATAACTGACAAGGATAGAAGAATCAGGCTTAAGCAAATGAAGCTCTCCAGTTGGCGATGAAACTTGAATCCAATACATCTGCAGATAAACAACTAAAGGTCCCATCTAGAAGTTACATGACCATCAGATGAAGTGAAAGATCAATTATTCCTGACAATCGAGAAGAAATTAAAGGATTAGTTAGACAACTAGTTACTCAAGATGAAGAAAATAAACAATAAGGCAATATATGTTTCAACTGTAACGTGTAATGACGTGTTTTCAAGAACTACTGATTAAAGCCTGTAGGGGAGTACAAATTCCTCCCAGAGGATTCAGGAGACGATAATTGCTATAAGTGTGGGAACATGACTATTATATCCAATACTGTAAGAAGTTAACAGTTGTTAATAAACCAAGGAGACAACTCCACAAGGATGAGACTATGTGGCCAACCATATCATAGCAGCAACAAAGAAGCTAACCAGATATCGGAAAAACAGATAATATCCGGACTTATGGGGGGAAATTCAGCTGAGAATACTTCATCTGCCCCATATGAAACAAAAGGCTCAATACTCAAAAAAAATCAGTCACGATTCCATGGGTTTACTCATGAGAAGTCTTGCAGTATGCTGATCAACACAATTGCAATAGATTGACCTGGTTTGAGAATGAAAGGTGGGAAATTGCCTCCAGAGATGAAGAAAGAAGATGAATTGATGTGAACAGCAGGTGGACATAAAGTTCCAGCAAGATGAAAGTTGGAAGCTACTTTTACTCTAAGAAACTTCTCTACATCTCATAATGTATGGTTTGGGTAATTGACATTGAGGAAGAGTTTATATTGAGAACTGACTTCATGTAGAGACATGGATGCGATGTCCAGTCCACTTAATGCCAGCGAATTAATTTATTTCTTCAATAAACGTTTACTACAGGATACGTTCGGTCGTAGATCACGTATAACGTTAAAAAAAATCCTAAATTAATGTCGTCTGACTTAGTGGTAGAATTTTCTCATTAAACGATCAATAACAAACACAGCTAACTGTCTTACTAGCTCGATCACTGAGGAACAGACATACTAACTCTCATCGTTTTACTCACTAATTAATAATGAACTGTAACTCACTCAATCTGGCATTTTTATATTATTACGAGTTTTCTACATATCATAGGAAACTCAAATGCTTAATCATCATTATGTCGTTACAAGCTCCCTCTAACAAATGTAAAACATTAAAAATAAAGTTCACAACAATAATTCAACATTGTCCATGATCTAACTGTGACATAAGCACTTGTTCTACTTTTAACGGCAAATACTGTGAATTGTTGTTTAGTCTCAAACCTTTGGTGTTTAATAAATGCATTTTAAGTGCATAACAATATATTGGATATCAAGTTACTATACAATAGCAGTAATTATGAATGGGGACCTGACTAGATCTGATGGTTAGAGCACTTAACTCGCAATCTGAGGGTCGCGGGTTCGAATCACACCGTCTAATATACTTGTACTTTCAGCTGCAGGGGAATTGTAATGTGACGGTCAATCGTTGGTAAAGAGTAGCCTAAGAGATGGCGGTGGGTGGTGTTGACTAGCTACCTTTTTTCTAGTCTATCACTTCAAAATTAGGGACAGCTAGCGCAGATAACCCTCGAGTAGCTTTGCACGAATTCAACAAACAAATAAACTTATGATAGGATTTATTTAAATATATTTTAGATGAGCAAAAGGGTGACATGGACATATTTATAACTGGAAAACGGATATTTTACAACTGAAATAGGTACACGTTGCAGTAATGGGTAGAGGTATGTAACCTAACATTGAAATAGGAACACGTTGCAGTAATGGGTAGAGGAATATAACTTAACATTGGAATAGGAATAAATTATGTAATTGGAAAAGGGGAGTAACTTAACATTGGAATAGGAATACATTCTGTAATAGGAAGAAGGGTATAACTTAACATTGGAATAGAAACACATTCTGTAATAGGAAAAGGGGTATAACTTAACATTGGAATAGGAATACATTCTGTAATAGGAAGAAGGGTATAACTTAACATTGGAATAGGAATACATTCTGTAATAGGAAGAAGGGTATAACTTAACATTGGAATAGGAATACATTCTGTAATAGGAAGAGGGTATATTTTAAGGCCGAATAGAGATACACATTCTCTATATGTTAAGTATTTGGTTTTTTAATTCAGGGTGATGCAGCTGATGGCATGTATTTTGTTTTTTAATTCAGGGTGATGCAGCTGATGGCATGTATTTTGTTTTTTTTTATTCAGGGTGATGCAGCTGATGGCATGTATTTTGTTGAAGAAGGAGTGGTTCGCATAGTGATGATGAGCGAGGTAAGAATAAAACTTTATACAATTCAGTCTCTATGATAGTTTTTCATTTTATTTTACGTTTTGAAGGCTTTAGTAAATATCAACAACACTACAGTTTCACGAAGACCTTTCACTCACACGTCCAATGTAATCTAGTGAATGTTAGAGGCCACAAAGACCACTGGCAGCGAGGATACCAAATAGATGACCTTAAGCGTATTTATTATTAATTGTAAATAATATTATACAATATTTTGGCACCACTCCTGGTAGAAGTTATTACGTAATCATATTCTTCTTCTACGGTTTGACATAACTATGGTGCATCAACACGTCTCTCATATCTCCCCAGTGGCTCAGCAGTAAGTATGAAGGCTTATATCACTAAAACCGGGTTTGGATATCCGTGGTGGGCACAACACGGATAGCCCATTATGTAGCTTTTCGGTTAACAAGAAGCAAAGAAACGTCAACACGTATTCTTCACTTGTCACGGTCCTTGTGTTTTGGAAAAGTTATGAGTTATTGTAAAAGGCTTAGTATTATTTGAAAACATATTAATAGATCATACACAGAAGTAGATGCATCTGGAAAGTTTTTTGTAGTTAAGGACAAAGCTACATAATGGGCTATCTGTGCTCTGCCCACCACAGGTATCGAAACCTGGTTTCTAGCGTTGTAAGTCCACAGGAATACCGCTGTGCCACTGGGAGGCTATATGGAAACTAAGCGATAGAATTAAATGATACTTAAAAGTATATTTATCTGGAAAGTAAGCGATAGAATTAAATGATACTTAAAAGTATATTTATCTGGAAAGTAAGCAATAAAGTTAAATGGTACTTAAAAGTAGATTTATCTGAAAAGTAAGCGATAGAATTAAATGATACTTAAAAGTATATTTATCTGGAAAGTAAGCAATAAAGTTAAATGATACTTTAAAGTAGATTTATCTGGAAAGTAAGCAATAAAGTTAAATGGTACTTAAAAGTAGATTTATCTGAAAAGTAAGCGATAGAATTAAATGATACTTAAAAGTATATTTATCTGGA